CAATTGACACCGTGCTATTCTTTGGCTCCCTGATTTTTGCTGTCATAATTATTAGTTTCTGACTGCAGGGGTTGAATGATGTTACACCTGATGCAACAGCCATTGAGGAAAGTAATGCGCTGGCCTTGGCCATAGTGTCATCAGGTAAATTTCTGTGTTTTTTTCTTCTTCCTTAGTGAATTTCTGTTTGTTTCTTTTATTTTCGGAAAACTAATGTCCATTTTTTTTATTTGGAATGAGAAGGTGCTGCTTCAACCTCAAATTCTGGCACTGCTTCAGCCAATTTTGATCCATCTGGATGGGAACTTGCTTTGGTCACAACTCCAAGCACTGACATTTCTACTCATACTGAGAGGCAACTGGTATGTGGTATCCTTCTCTAGCATCGCTGGTTTCTACCGCTTAAAATTTGCATTAACTTGTGAAGGAACAGACTTTTGAGGAAGCTAGCGCAAGTAGTGTGTGGTTAAATCTTATCTAGCAGTAAGAGATAAATCGTGTTTCTCTCTTCATCCTGAAAAGCTATCCTTCTGAGTTCATTGATGATGCGTATTTTGCATACTTTCTCGTTAATTCATTCATATGCTTTTGGCTGAATTCATATTTGTGAATCATCTTGCAATAAGCTAACATCTCTCTCTCTCTCTCTCTCTCTCTCTCTCTCTCTCTCTCTCTCTCAGTGCTTCTGTCTTAGTATGCTCATGTTTCTTGAGTTTGGGATGAATGTCAAACACAAATGTCAATTTTAAAGATTTGGCCTTTAGTTTAGGACATTGCTTTTAACTATGGATATGGTTAAATGGAAGGCAAAATATCAATCCCTGAACATTTTGATATTCTATAAATTTCCGTGAGGAAAAGGATGCGAGTTAAATTACAAATGTAAACTTTTTCTTACAGGTTTTGTTTGCTTGTTTATTTCAAGTTTTGGTTGAATTCTGTTTATGTGGTATATTTCAAGTGTTATTTTCTGTGGTGTTTTGGGTGGTTGCCTTGTGAAATTATAGTCTACTCGCAGAAGTCTAGTAAAAAAAAAGGTAAAATGGAAACTAATAATCCCACCTTTGCCACTTTTGCTCAAAACAATCCCACCTTCAAATAATTTGAAAATAATCCCACCTTTACCCCTAATCTGCTCAAGTCCAGTAAAAAAGGTTAATGTTTTATTTATTTATTTTTTATTTTTTATATTTTTATTTTTACTTTAATTTCTTAATTCTCGCCTCCTACCTCCCACCTCCCTAACCTTTAATGGTAACTCCAATCACCACCACCACCAAACCTCCATTACCACCACCAGACCTCCACCCCGAACTCCCAACCACACCCACTCTCACCTAACCACGAAACCCCCTAAACCGACCACCCAGCCACCCTGAAACCTCCTAAACTCGACACCCCAGCCACCCACGAAACCTTCCCTCTGCTCTGCTTCCCCTCTCGCGTCACCCTCCCCCTGCTATCACGTCAATTTGCGGAAGAAATTGAGTGAATTGTTGCCACCAGAGTTCTAGGAAGTCAGAATTGGGCGTTTGCTTGCTACAATTGATACTTTTGGTGTCGATTTGGTTGTTGTTTATTGGTAGTTTTTGGAGTTGCAAGGGCTGATGTTGTCGTTATTTGGGAGTGGTGGCTGTGAAGATGTGGTCGTTACTGGGCGGATTAGTGGTTGCTCTGTATGTGTGCGAATATTGGGAACGGAATTGGTAGTTGATGGGGTTGAGCAATGCATTGATTTTGTGGGCCGTGATATGGTGGAGGTGCAGCATGTGAGGTTGAGATGGCTACTATTACGGTGTGTGTTTAGTGGTGTTTGGTTGGGTTGTTGTTGGTGGGCAGGAGGGACTGTTTCAGGTGGCGGTTCGGAGGGAAAGGGAAGGAAGGGGCTGCTATCGTTGGCCGGGAAAGGCTGGGGCGGCTTGGGCTTTTCTGGTGGGGTTGGCTGGTGGTGTTACTCCGGCAGGGAAGAAGAAGGCAATGGTGAGGAGTCTGTTTCAGGTGGGAGGATTGGGAAAGGGGTTGATTATTTTTTTTTTTATTATAATTATTTTTGTTCTTTGTTTTTTTATATTATTTTTTTAAAAAAAAAAAAAAGCATTTAGAAGGTGACACGTGGCAAGTCACCTTCTAACTTAGGTTGCCAATTTGACAAATCTGTAAAAGGCTTGTTTTGAGCAGATGAGGGTCAAAGGTGGGATTGTTTGCAGATTTCGAAAAGGTGGAATTATTTTGAGCAGAATTAGCAAAGGTGGGATTATTAGTTTTCATTTTTCCAAAAAAAAAAGGAGAAGATAGGGATGGCTAAATATTCTAATAACCGTTTTTTTGGTTGTATGTTGAGATAAGTAGTTTAAAAGGATTTTTGTTTCAGTTGTGGGACTTCCAAAATCTCTTACCATCCTTCTTATATATTGTAGATAAGATATTGTTGCTAAAAAAAAAAATAGGTATTTTATATGAACACTTCCTTAATATGGCACTATTATACCTCATTTTTCAAATTCTCTATCTGGATTTTATGCTATGATCAATATTGTTTGATAAGTATTGCTCTATCTATTTAGCTTTTGGAAGGAGTGCTCTTTGCTAGAGTGCTTGGGTGGGGATTGGAACCTGGAAGAACCATTTTTCCAATCACTACATTTTCTACACTCAAATTCTATAATTTAGACTTTTCAAACGTGTAATTAGGATTGGACCAGTTTGGCCAGAATTAGATGATGCAAGTATGGAACGTGCAGATAGCTACTAGCCTACTATGGCTGCATGGTTATTTGTCTTTGAAGTACGTGTTTGTGCAAGCTTCTTGTTGAAAATCTTTTCAATTTAATGCCATACTAAATTGAAAGCTGGGGGGGGGGGGGAATTCCTTTTTGTTTATTGATTTTATTATGGTACCTTCCTGTGGTTCTGATTTTTGTCATAATAATACCTTACCATGAATCACCTGACTTGGTTTATCATTAATGATCTCTTTTGCTGTGAAAGAGGCAATTGATAAATGATGTATATTAAGCTAGAGACATTAATTTTTACAATGATTTATGTTAATATATAATATAACGAGGATAGTTCATGATCATTGGATAGGGTAGATTCACGTTTTTGTATGAAAAGAAATGAGTGTGTGTGCATCTTCCTTTTACAATGCCATGTATGAATTTTTATAGCATGATATGTTTTGTTTGTGGAGCTTATACAGTGCTACTGCTATTTGATACCATTGGTAATATATCTTCCTTTGTAGGCTGGTGGATTGGATTCACTCACATTGAATAGTTTGTACGATGAAGGAGCTTATAGAGCCATCCAGCAGCCTGTTTATGGTGTACCATCAGCCCCCAATCCATTTGAAGTACATGATCCCTTTGCAATGTCCAACAACATTGCTCCTCCTGCTGCAGTTCAGATGAATTCTATGACTCAGCAACCGCCACACAATCCTTTTGGTCCTTATCAGGCTCCTTATCATGCACAAGCGCAGACACCTGTGGGGCTTGGGGCACCAAATCCTTTCGGTGACGTAGGTTTTGGACCTTATGCTGTTGCTCCTGTTAATCATCAACAAAATGCTGCTAATCCATTCGGGAATACAGGACTGCTGTAACCCTGATTGGATGCAATTGGCTTTTAGCACATATGGTTTTGGTAAAGTGAGGCTATCAAAGTGATGTTAATATGTCGTAGATTTTAGGTATGAGATGTCCATACGATGAAGGCATTTCTACACTGGATCTTCTTATAGTGTAAACCTATGAAAAAAGAGATTCATTAATCCTACTGATCAAGAATAATAATTTTTATTCTTTCCTATTGAGATCCAAAATATGAGGATTGTATATTTTTATTATATGGGTTCGTGTGTAAAAATATGGTAAATGTAGGGACTCGCCATGGAGTGCTTTGCGAGGTGTAATTTGTATCACTGATACTGCTGTACTTGAAATGTGTTACCACATTCGTCTTTGTTCTGAAATATGCCTCCTTTTCTGTTTGGGATAGGCCTAATCAGTTGTTGTCATTGTAATGTTACGAGTACATGTTCAGTTACTCTCTCTCTCTCTCTCTCTCTCTCTCTCTCTCTCTCTCTCTCTCTCTCTCTCTCTCTCTCTCTCTCTTTTCTCATAGTTGTATCAAAATTGGCAAAACACCATTTTACATCCTGTTGGGGTATTGTCGCCTTGTCGGATATATTATAGTAATTGCAAGCTGGAAAGTTTCTTGTGTTATCTCAAGTCAAAGAGGCTGCTATAGAATTACAAACTACAAAGATTAGGTTTAGTCATTAAATTGTAAATTTTATCATTGATTAGGGTAACCTCAATTTTCAAACTTAACCCATGACCTCCGTGCTTTGCATCTCCTCCGTTCTGGGCAATTTGGTGACCTTTTATACCACTTCACTTATTTATACTCCTATTCTCTTTCCTCGCCACCTTCTAGTTCCATCCAACCTATGATTTTTCTCTTTACCTCTTTTCTTTCCTCCCACAGCATTGGTATCCACCACGTTTCAAATTGGCATAGCTGTTGAAGTCGCTGCCACCGCCATCCCAACATCAGCAGTCCTTGTTCTCTAACAATCCAGCTCAAAAACGACATCATTTTGTCGGATTCAACCTCTATGGCAACGTCGTACTTCGCCATATATTGCTCAAGCAGGCCAAGTGCCATTGCCCTTACCTTTGACACCCATCAATGGGATTTTCCAAATATCATACTTATTCCGTTTTTTTTATTATTGCACCACTTGCCTTATTGATTAATAAGTCCATTACACCCCTTGATATCTTCTATATTATCTCCACCAATGACATACCTCTAAATCCCTCTATATTAGGGTACTTGACCTCTTTTTGTTTGAGGTTGACTTAGTATTACTAGGAATAGTCGATTTTGACGAATTCGCCAATTTCACAACTACTACGCGGAAGATCGCAAGGATGAACAAATCCCACGTGCATTTCTCAATCTACGCGTTCATAACTTGATGAGTACTGCTCTTTCAACACCTCACTATTGTCGTCGCTAACAACATTAATAATTTAGTCAATTTCAATTTCAAGTCAACTCACCTTTTTTTCCTTAAACATCCCCTCTTCTCAATTTTAACAAAAATTAGCTACCAATTTCTATCATCAATTTATTTATTTATTTATTACCTGTGGAAAAGTCAGCCAACTTCTTCCTCAGAAACTTCAGATTTTCAACATACTTTTTTATTTTTTTTATTTTTTAATTTTTATATCTTGAGTTTTATTCCATTTCCATGGAATTTGATTAAATTTCTGAATCAAAATATGAAAGCCAAAGACTTCATCAAGAGCATGATGAATCCTTTTAAATTCTACTCTGACAAAGGTACCCAACAAAAAAAAAAAAAAAAGAAAAATAGAAAAACCCTTTTCTTTATCTTTGTATATTGATTATTAAGATTATTACTTTATAATTTGTGATCATAGCTTGATTTTTAAGTGTTTTGTATGTTTTTTTGAATTGGGTATTTGTTAGAAGGTTCAAAAGAGGCAGATTTGCAGAAGATTGCAGCACAAGAGCAAAAACAATTTTCATATGAGACATTAATCAAAGCAACTGATAAATTTCATTCTTCTCACAAGCTTGGTGAAGGGGGTTTTGGTCCTGTTTTTAAGGTATGTTAATTTTGTTTATTCAAGTAGAAAATTTGGACTAGCAAGTGATCTCGTAAGGGAGTTGTTTTAGCTTAACTACAGGTTTCAGGTTCGAGCCCAGGGAATGAAGCAGTACTCCCCCGGCTCGAACCCGGATCTGGATTACTGAGTGGGATTTAGTTAAAAAAAAAAAAGTATGTAAGGAAATTTTGATTGCTAAAAATAGAAATTTGGTTATACCCAAGTAGTGAATTGGGAAATTTTTGTGGGTGTAGGGTAAATTGTTGGATGGAAGAGAGGTAGCAGTGAAAATGCTGTCACAGCATTCAAGACAAGGGCAGAAAGAATTCATCAATGAGGCAAAGTTGTTAGCTCGTGTGCAACATAGAAATGTTGTGAATTTGTTGGGTTATTGTACACATGGTGAAGATAAACTCCTTGTTTATGAATACGTCTCCAATGAAAGCGTTGACAAGCTTCTATTCAGTAAGATTTTCTGTCAATTTGCAATGAATTGTCTTGTGTTTTAGGCTCCGTTTGATTTAACTAAAAATTATGCAAATGATTTTCATGGAAAACAATTTTTTAAGGAAGAATACAATTGCAAACTAGTTTCTGTTTTCCCTTGTTTGTTTTCTTACATTATAAGTTATGGAGACAAGGAAACTAGGAGTGGAAGGGCGAGGATGATTGGATGAGAGAAAAAAGGTGGTAAGGAGGTGGGAGGAAAATATGGCTTACACTCCCTTTCATTTCGAGAGGAAAATGCTTTCAATCCTTGAGAGTTATTTTCCACCATTGGGAAAATTGTTTTTTTTTTTTTTTTTACCCCTTTACAAACCAAACAAAAGAAAATGAGAGAAAGTGCAAGGAAAAATCATTTTCCTGATCCAACAAAACACTCCTTGATTCTGAGGTAATTTTGTGATGGTTATTGTGGTTGTTAGTTGTCGTGTTACTAGTTCGAATTATGACATTTCTTAACTACATTATGCTCATTATATTTAAAATAATTGTTTGTTTATCTTTACTCATCACAATTGAAGAAGTATTTAGTATGCTTTGAGCAAGATACTAATTTGAAATGTTGGTTGGTATTGCTGATAAATTCAGGAAACTGGAATGTTTTCTTGGACATTCCAATATAGTGCATGTGACTCTTATAAGGAGTAGTTTAGTTTGAGGGAGTATTAATATTATGGCCTTTAAAGGACATACTAATATGGTGCTTGTGGAGTTGGATAGAGCAAAAAAAATTTTAAAAATATTTCTATAGATATCAAGGTTACATATATCTCTCTTGTACAAGCTCCAACTGAAGCAATCTCTGTGAATAAGAGTATAAAATTACAGCAAATACTCTAGTTTTATTCGGCACTAGTAATTGGTTAGGGATGAAACAGCTGATTCTTCCATCATTAGTATGTCGGTAAAACCCATAATCCAGGTAACTTTTGGATACTTGATTTGTTAGGGAAGGAAATACCATGGCTTGCCAATCTCCAATGCTGGACAGATGATGGAATGAATGTATCCAATGTTTCCAAGGTCACTTTGGTTGGTATGTTCTGTTATTGAGCAAAAGGCTTTTTATGAGAGTCGCTTGCCTCTTTTGGGGATTATAAGTGTTTTAAGGATGACAACGAGTTTGATCCATGCTTAGGAGAGCTTATTTGAGATCTTTTGGACCCTGTGTAGAGTTCTCTAAGGTCATCAGGAGGTTGCAGTAAAGGAGTTGTCAGAAGTCAGAACAAGCAAAACATCCTTCAATACACTTCCATAACCATGATATGTAGCATGCAGGAGGTCAGCATGGACACCCAAAGTACATGCTGGGATGCTCATGGACCTGTTTCCTGTTTGCAGCAGGCATTTTTTTTTAAAGACTCGGGTTTTTGATTTGAGCCATCGGATGAAGCTTGTATGGTTCAGATTTAGTGTGAATGAGGTTTTTCTCTCTTCTTTGAGAAGCTAGGCTATAATTATTCCTCTGCAAAGCATGCTCCTTAATTGTCGATAATGTTTAGAATGACAGAACCTATGCTCACGATTCAAAACAACTGGGTGAGCTTATCAATTAGATTCTTGTATCTCTGGTGTTTATCCTGGTTTAAGCATAAAAATTAGTTTTTTTCTTCTATATTGATGAATTATCCATGAATCTTAAACCCTTGAAAAGTTTTCTTAGATGATTACATTATATTATCTTGCTTAGATTTTGTTTAGATAGTTGTTTGACTGCCACACTTTGCTTCTGGGTATTGAATGCAATAATTGCCTTCTTTTTTGGAAGCCTTTGATAATTTTACCTTCAGTTGTATTCACATTTTGATCTTCATCTTTATGTCAAAATCCATACGGATTATACCAATGCAAACTTGAAAGTGCCTCAATGAGAATGTACTTTTAATAAAGAAAATTTTGCAGAGTGTAATTGGTAATTTGCTGATCATTATACTTTTACACCTTTGCAAGCATGAACCCGTTACAAAGTAAATTATGCATAGAGCTTGGGAGAAAGTAAAATATACATTGTTGAAAGCATTTGTGTATTAGATCACATGGCAGTCATTTTGTTAAGTAATGATATAAGGAGACTACTCGGTTTCTGTGCGATACCGAAAAACTTGTTTCTCATTTCTGTGTCTGTCATGTCAGATAGCCTCTCTGTGTACTGAATATTTAAAGTTCTTATGGATCATTATGACAATACTGAACAATGAGAGAAGTGTTGGTAATTGTAGGGGAATTCAGCAAATGATGACAAATGACAAACTTGACCTTATTTAGATTTTTCATTTGTGATTGATCTGGCTGCTGCTGGCATTATTATTGGGGCAAGGAAATTGTTTTAGTGATTGGTGTAGTCGTCAAGCTAGTTTTTCTGACTTTTGCTCCATTTTTGAAATTCTAGGAAATTTATGATTGCTGGTTAGGAAATCAGAGAATTTAGTGATCTTTTGAAGCCTTTTGGATGGTAAAAAGCTGTATTTTGGCGCATTATATGTGTCAAAGACAAGTGAGAGCATATGGTGAGATTTAAAAAAAAAATTTAAAAAAATTCTACCTGTTCCCTTAGGTTGTATTTTGGGGGCATATGATGAGATTTGCAATTTTTTCTACTGGTTCACATACATCCTTCAGGTGGGATCATATGATTAGTTTTGAAAATTTTCTGCTTGTTCACATACAACCTTTAGGTTGGTCAAAGTTTCAAAACTATCATGATATTGAAGTTGTAAAGTTGTGCACTTATGGCATCCGATGTTGTACCCATTGTACTTCAAACATGTGGTCATAATTGAAGCCATGACTTTTGACTGTATGTTATTCTAAGTTCTGTATACCAAATAATTGATCCATAATATTTTCTTCTAATTAGTTTTCTAACATTGTGAAGCATTGCTTTCATAAGTTCCTGACGTAATTGATGAATCCATGCTGAACTAACCTTAACAACTCCCAAAAAGCCATTGTCACTTAACTACAGAATTGCACTTATTTAAATAAAAACTGCTTCTTTTTCAAAAAAAAATAAAAAAAATTGCTTCATTTTATAGCCAAATTAATTGATATAATACTGATGGTGTCTGATACAGAGCCAGATAAGCGTCAACAACTTGATTGGAAAAAACGGTATGAAGTTATAGCAGGTGTAGCTAAAGGATTGCTTTACCTTCATGAAGACTCACATAGTTGCATCATTCACCGTGACATCAAGGCTAGTAATATCTTACTTGATGACAAATGGATCCCTAAAATTGCTGATTTTGGCATGGCTCGTCTCTTTCCTGAAGATCAAACACATGTAAATACTAGAGTTGCGGGTACCAAGTATGTCTTACTATTATAGAGTTGTTTTCTCCCAATGTGGCAATGTTCTTGCTCTCTGACCTGCAGTTTGTTTGATTGAAACAGTGGTTATATGGCTCCAGAATATGTCATGCATGGCCATTTATCAGTGAAAGCCGATGTATTCAGTTTTGGAGTTTTGATGCTTGAGCTGATTAGTGGTCAGCGGAACTCTTCATACAATCTATCCCTTGATGCTCAAAATTTACTTGATTGGGTAAGTTAGTGGTTTTACTAGTCAATCTACTTAACAAATTGTTCTCCCTATGATCCTTAATATTGGTCATTTGTAGTTAGGTATTTTCAATCATATTTGTTGTTAGTTGGATTTAGTATTTATTAAAGCCGTATAAATTAAAAAATGACGTTTTGTAATGCATTCAAATTATCAACTTAACTATGGTTTTGACAGCATGAAGCCATGAACTGACATGTAATTTTATATTGGTAGTACAAAACATTTTATATTTTGGATCAAAATCAATCAACTAAAGCTATTAATATTTTGGATCAGAGGGAGTTTTGGAATTGCCAATTCGATATCTATTAAGGAGTTTAATGAAATATATGGTATGCATTTTATTTTATTATGGGTTATTATGTATGTATGAATCTGTCCCAGTTTTAACTTGTGAATAATTGTATGCTGGGAGTAACTACGATCACGGGATTAAAGTAGAAACTGTTCTTTTTCTTCAGTGACGACGATTAATGAACCTAGGCTTTAGGATGCACCAAGAATTCAGCTGCATGCTCTTGCCAAAATCTGGTAGAGTTTCTTCACGCCCACAAAACCTATTTTTATTCCAGCTAACCTTTTTGGACTTTTCTAGTCAATATTACTCACCAGATGAATCATTTGACCTAAATTTTGTGGAATATATTTTACTAAGTATATATGTTTTATTTTATATCTTATTTGTGACAAAGTTTATTACGTTTTCTCTGGTTTTAGTGAGTGAGTTATTATGTGGGGGTATGTTGGTAGGCGGCTGCCGTCTGTTTTGCATTATTTGACGTCTGCATGATGGTAGGAGAGTTCATCTCTTGAAAAAGATGAGCCCTATTTTCTTAACATGTACTTCATCCGGTTTTTTTTTAATCGAACCATTTGGACTTCTTCACTATCCACACATCCCTCATTAATCATCTTTTGTTTTTTATACGGAAAAAAAGTAGTCGTGGTTTATAAACTTTACTAAAAATAGTTAAAGATAAAAATGTCCAAAGTTTTGCACTGGTGAAACTCTATTTCAATTTTCTTTTTTTTTTTAAAAAAAGGGAAGTATTCTTTCCGTTTCAAGATAATCTGACAAGTTTAGACAATCTAGCAACTATATTTAGTTTTTATTTATTTATTTTATTTTGTGGAAAGGTGACAGGGTGATTTAGATTTGTGACTTTTGTTATGGAATTTTTCCACAAATATCTGTGGCTAAAATTGGACCTATTTGGGTATTGTCAACGTAAATATTATATTGATGGGTCAAGAGTCAAGTGGGGTCTGGGGTTTTACTTGTCAACGTAAAGATTAATCTTAAAATAATGGCCACAAAATTAATTGTCAAAATTATCATTAGGAAGTCGGTCTTTAATGATATGCAGCATCGTACCATTTCGATGTTTTAAGATTGGCTTCATACTGAGCTTGCTAAAGAGTAAGGATGAGTAAAAGACGGGCTGATGAGCTCGAGCTTGTCATTGTAATGTCGTCTATTTCATATTTTTGATGTGTCGAAAGGGCTGGAATAGCAAAGTAAATGGCTAGGCCAAGGTTCTAGACAAACTTGGAAGTGATACCAAATTGTGTACATTCCAGCTACTGTAACCATCATACAATCAGTCATTTGCGGAAATAAAATGTTTACTGCCACCATAATCGTGTATATCCTCTGTTTATTTCTTATATACTGGAAAATGTGGGCAAAATTATAAAGATAACGGTGTAAAAACTAGAATGTTATCTCATGTGTAAAATATAATAGGTAAATTTTGGTTTGGCAGGCTTACAAGCTATTCAAAAAAAGCAGAAGTCTGGATGTTTTGGACCCATCAATAGCAAGCACGGCAGATGCAGAACAAGTAGCTCTATGCGTTCAAATAGGACTGTTATGCACCCAATCAGATCCTAATTTAAGGCCATCAATGCGTCGTGTAGTGGTTTTGTTGTCAAGGAAACCAACGAGCCTGGAAGAACCAACCAGGCCTGGCTTCCCTGGTTCAAGATATCGGAGGTCACGGAATCCAGGTGGATCATCCTCTCATACTGCATCTTCGGGTGCATCTTCCTCAACTAAAACTGATCACACCTCCAGTACGATGAGTGTCACCAACACCACCACCACCACCCATACTGCTAGGAGTCTAGGTTCAGATCCTCGTGGTAAACGGCCTATGAGACAGAGTGGGTAATAATTTTCAAGGATAAATTAGAAGAATGATAAGGAGGGAGTTTGTTATTCTTCTAAAATTTTGTACATAACAATTTGTTTGTATACCTTTTTTTTTTGGTTTTAGGAATGTAAATGAGGATAGGTTGAAGGGAAGGTGGACTATATTGTTCATCGTGATCATCACAAGCTATGAAATTCATTGAATTTCCTTCTTTTTTTTCTTCTAGAGAGAGGTACATAGCTTTTTATTTACCGTCTTTATTTCATATTATTTACAACGATGTAACATAAAGTGTGAGTGAAAAATGTTTAATTGTTGCAAATCATAATAAACGGATGTAGGTATAGTTTGAGGGAAGGTACATAACGAAATTAAATTTGAAACTTGTTTTTTGTTTTCTATTGGTGGAAATTCAATAAAATTCCAAAACTTTAGAGTGGCAGCTTTTATTAATGGAAAATGATATACAAAATAAAGTACATGCTTATCTATATCTACATGTATCATTATCCTTTATTAAAGAGCTAATTTATTTTACATTTTTCTTTATTTAAATGTTTGACAAAAGGTGAACCATAAAAGACTAATAAAATCAAAAACTACTAGTGTAGCTATAGTTTAGTGCATGATATTAAATCTCGGTAAAATTACAGTCACTGACACCAACTGTAGAGTATGTCACAAATAGACACGAACTTGTATTACTCGTTGAATCGACACCAATCTGCCAATAAAAGAATACATTGACACTAAGGCACTAAACACTCGAGTCTACTCCACATCGATCAATTATATAAGGGGGCGTTTGGTTCACAAAGTGGTATGAGTTTGGAATCAGAAATGAAACTAAGGTGGTATGAAGTTGGAACTAAATTCTTAATACCTTGTTTTTGGTTGTTGTCCGGGATGAATTTTTCCTTTTTATTTGATGCCTAAAGGTGTGGTATGAGCCATACCCACATCCCCCTTTTACCTTGTGGATTTGAGGTATAGATTTAGAAATTAGATTTTTCTTTAACAAACATTAGGTGTGTGTTTTTGTAATACCCCGTATTTTTTATGTATTTTATAAATTATTTAATTAATTATAAAATATATTTTTAAAGTACTCAAGTATTTTAATTAAATATTTAAAGGGCTAAAGTATTTAAATTATTGAGTTTTATAAAAGTATAATTTATTTTGGGCTAAACGTTTATTAATCGTTTGAGCTCGTTTAAATAATAGTATGTAAACAATCCTTACATACTCCTTGTGGACCAACCCATTTCATTTAAGTAAACCCAATTCTTTTATTTGAACCTTTGTGGGTCAAATATTTCATAACTAAAGCCTATTTTTTTAAGCCCAACCTAGTCTTTATTCCCTACTCTATAAATACCTCTCAATACCCCAAAATTTTCCCAAACAAGAGATCAAAAATCAGATTTTGGGGTAAGTAATCTTTTTTTTCTTTTCCCTTAATTTTCTTTTCTTTTCTTTTCCTTCTTTTCTTATTCTTTCTTTTTCTTTTTTTTTATGATGTTGTACGTGAGGGTTTTGGGAGAAACAAACCCCCACCTCACGCCACCTTGCACCACCTTGTTGCCGCCTCCAACATCCCGCCGGCGAGCCACCTCCGGCCGCCCAAAAATCGCCGGCAACCACCCCACCGAGACTTTAAGTTGAGTAATTTCTAGCATCGTGGCTAGTTGGAAAGATGATTTAATTAAGGTACGTATAAGAATACGAGAAACTTGATTCTAGGAGCATGTTTAGGGACTTGGGAAAAAAAACCTAGAATCATGCTAGGGAACTTGTGGATTGGTTGACATTGTTTGGTAATGAGTTGATTGATGATAAATGTGATGATTGGTTTAATTTATGTATGAGAAAATTTGCATTGATTTTCCTTATGAACATTATTTTTGCAATAATTTGCAAAGTGAGCTTAGAGGCAAAAATACAAGGATATATGGAATGAATCATTTTAATTACTTATTCATTTGTATTGAAATGGAATGAGTAAAGGAAGAGTTAAAGTCTTATAAGACAAGATTGTGGATATGAGGTGCCTTATGCATTTAAGGTGTTTATACACCGAGGTAGTTAAAGGATGCAATAATACATGTTGTTTGTCACTAATAAATTAAGAATTGAATTGGAAACTTGAATGATTTGTATGATTGATGTATGATTGGTTGTGTTGATTGCATGCGAGTCATCACCTAATCTAAACTGGTAAATCACGTAAAGTGCAAGAAGGATGAGCAATAAAACTCTGGATTTGTGCACATCTAGAGTAATGACAAATAGGGGTTGGGGTTCACGGGGTATTATCCGTGTACTTTTCAGAGGCCGTCTGATCTACGAGTCTCTTGTTTTAAATTCTCTTAAAATTATAATGAGTTAGATGAGATCTCATACTAGCTATGGCCACGGAGTCGCGTTCGTCTGCCATTGGATGTTTATTAATGTCTTCCGAAAGGAGGCATAGGGTTTTCTTATTTAATGTTCCGGAATGGAGCACAGGGGGACAACCCGGTCTATTGCTTAATCCAATCAATTAATGAAGTGGTCAATGCTACTTAAATAAAAACCTTGTAATAAGTAACATTTGAATCATGTGTTCGAGTCAATGGTTATATTGAGTGTATGGAATGCTTGTTAGTATCATGCTAAGGCTCTTTACTGTGTTTCGTAGCTTGTATGTACTCGGCGTTGCTGATGACGTGCTTTTGTGTGTTTCTCTTGGTCATGGCCTTCGCCTTCAATGACCCTGTAATGATACAATTCTTACACTTGTAAAATTGGGGAGCAGATTAACCACAGGTTTTTGCATAAATTGATTTGCATCAGGGTGATGGGATTTGAGTGGAGCGTTGGTTATTCACTTAGCTTATTTTATATCATAAATCGAATTTTATTTTGGTTCTAATTCCATTTACTTTCTATTTTACTGGGTTTGAATAAGGGTCGTCATGGTTCCAACTTGTAAGTCTAAATTTAGTTTTGATTATTAGTTTTGAAACTTACATTTTCTTTTAAAACTAAATTAGTTTTCTGCTGCTGATTTCTGAAACTAGCCTTAACGTTTTAACACGTGGCTGTAGCACACCAGTAATTCTCTCACAAGTTATTAAAAGTATTTACAGGTTACCACAAGTTATTACAGGTTAATACAGGTTTTAAAGAGATAATTATTGGGGTGTTACAGTTTTACTCATTTCAATTGCATACCTCATACCTAAAACTTCTGATTGGCCCCCTAATCCTTTTTTCCAACATGTAAGAACTATTTACAAGCAACATTTTTGCTCTACTTGTGTTCTTTGCACTTTGGTTGTCACACACCATACAAATTTTGTTTTAGATTTATTCCGGTGATTACCTTTGCTTGTAGTCTCCTGCAGTAAGTAAACGAGATTGCAGGAATTTTATTGTTGTGATTCCAATAGCCAAGCTCCTTGGCTTTGGAGAGCACTAGAGTTAAGTTCGCCAAACAATATGAGCACCTTCCTATCCTTTCTTGTCTTCCTAGTCTATGTAGACACCATCCATTTCCCATTCCTTTTGTGTTTTTGTCCCAGGCTCCATCAAGTTGAATTGAGTTCATGGAGCCGAACTAAGAACATCCCATGCTTGCCATGAGAAACCTGGGGGAGCGGGGGTGAAACGGCTCTATATAGGGGAGTGTAAGAACTCTATGTCCATAAAAGCCGATCGGATAAAAGATTCATAAATCCTTAGTGACAAGGTTAACTTTTTCCAGAATTCTGTTTACTAGGACGTTAGAACCTCAATGCAATTATCTCATTTCTTTCTAGCCAAAGAGCTCATGTTTTTGCAACAAGAGTAAGGCTCGATTACTAGTAAAGAGCCGGTTAAATTCTCAAATCCATTCTATAATTGGAATGTCTTCATTTTCTTGTGAGCAGACTCAATAAACCAAACTGACATACCTTTGAAGCTGTACGTGTCCTAAAAAGGAAAACCGATTTAGTTTAGATGTTGAGATAGAGGGTCACCCTGTCTTAAACCACATTTTGGCATGAAAACTGATTGCGTATTTTAATTCAAGTGGACCTTAATAACACACTCATAAAACATTGTGACATTACTGCTCACTCCTAATCTTAATATATACTTCAAAATATCAAATTTTTATATTTTTTTTAAAAAATAAACATAAAGATATTGAAGGTATAAATGTACACTGACAAGAGTGAAAAACAAAAGAAGTATGTATGGTTGAAAAGAAATGGAAAGCCAGCCTCAGCCTCAGCCTCAGGCTATCAATTGCTAAATCAGGTCACGAATTATAATGTGAATGGAGATTGAAACAATGAGTAAGCATAAAAATCAATACTGAATATTCTTTAAGTGCAGAAGTCCATCAAACATTCCTATGAGCTAGATGCAGGAAAAATAAAAAACGAACAAACGAACATCCAAAAATGTCCATCCCAAGTCATACAAGCACCACATACTAAATCCACCAAGCAACACGCCGAGTCCACAAAGTTTCAGTCACATGTGCACACATTTTAATCAGAATACATCTCCAGACGACCACCAAAAGTGATTTTTCTATGAAAACATATATAGCCAAAAATCAAAAACCGCTTCAGATCTCATATTGGCTTGATTTTGAAGTGGAGTGAGATAAGTGAGAATACAAAACACTTCAAGTCCTGCATGAACAATGAGGCAAAAGTTCAGTATTACATGTGTATTGCACAAAGATCACGCACACTAAGGATACATACAAACACAAAGAGTACTGAAAGACAATAAATTGTCCACCAACACAATAGTCAGCATCAAGGTCTTTGTTTGCATCAGACACAAATCATTCTATTTATCAAATGACAAACTTTCTATCCCCAGTCTATACAGAACCAAACAAAAAGTTCACCGTGATTTATCTCCTGCAGGTACCAGATAACTTCATTCCACTAGTACACTCAATATGGTGTTCTGTCCACACAAAATTCATCCCTTGGATTTTTCATTAAACGTACTGGTTACGAAAACTCATCACAGAAGCTGTCTTGGGCAAGGGTAAAAAAGGGGAGGAGGTTGGACCTAACAGCATAATACTTTTTACTTGAGTAGCAGAAACAGACCCAATGCCAAATCATAGTGAAAACACAACAATATAAATGATCTTCCAGGATGAATTCATGACAATGCTCTTGAAAATGCAATAACTATAAGCCTTGAATAATAAGTGAGTTTACGACTTAAAAGCCTATAAAATTTCTTTTTAATGAGCTAGGCCTCACGTGCTGTAAACAACATCAAAAGATAGCATCCCTGAAAAAGGAAAAGAAATGGATCACCATCAAACAGGACTTGCATTGACTTTGAGTCCAAGATAT